ATGTTTCCTTTACCTGCATGAGCCTGAATGTGTTGATGACGAAAGTCACTTATTACTCATGTTTCCATCCACAGAGCCTTGGAAAGCACATCTTATAAGTGCTCGAATAAATGAATTTGCATTAAATAAATCAATTATTATGTTTTATTCATAACATTTATAATATCACATTCTGAATGCTATAGTTCTTGAAGTATCATTCATGAATTAAACTACACTAACCTACCTATAACCTATAATAATGAGGAAAACATATGGCGTAAGTTGAGTCAACGATACCAGTCACATTCACCTAAACTCTAAGTCCCAATCTCCTTCCCCACCAAAGGGTGGAGAGAAGAGGCAAGGTGCTGGCTTAGCTGCAGGTGTTTTCTGGCTTCAAGGTATAATCCTCTAACAGGGGCCGACAGTCAGGCGGGCACGAGCCGAAGTAAAGGTGGCCAGGCCCTACGACTCCGTCGGAAAGGCTAAAAAGGACAGGCAATGCTGTCATTTTAAAATATACTCTCCTAAACAGAATATCCAAGTAAGCCACTCATTATACTCATGGCATTAAACAAAAGCAATGCCTTTTCAACAAGGGACAATTATTAAAGATACCTGAAAAAATAATAATTTTCAATAAACTTCATGGACCCCAAAACCAACATTCTTTCCATAACACTATGTCACCTGTGTTAAAATCTGTGCTCCTATGAAATGGAATCCTGGAATCCCAAAATTAAAGTAGACATTGAAAAATAAAATTGGCCCAGCCAGTGTGTCTCAGAGCATTGACCCACGAACCAAGAGGTCTCCAGTTTGACTCCCAGTCAGGGCACATGCCCGGGTTGCGGGCTCCATCCCCAGTAGGAAGCATGCAGGAGGCAGCAAATCCATGTTTTCCTCTCATCGATGTTTCTATGTTTCTGTCACTCTCTCCCTCTCCTTTCTTCTCTCTCTAAAACCAATAAAAACATATTTTAAAATACATAAGTAAATAAAATTGTATGGAGAAAGTCTCCATCGAAAATGTTTGTGAATTAAATAAGGTATGATAAAATAAAATACCAGAGCATAAGATCATTTAAGTTATTAAACTATCTACCAAATACACACAGAAATAAACAAATGCTATCACTGATTCTGCATTTTAACACAATTGTGTCATCATTAAACTGGCAGAACCATGTGCCAGAACTGGTTGGATATGAGACTGGGGCAACTGGGGGATTGGGGAGGGGGGACTAAACCAGCCAAGGCCGCAGAGAAAGAAGCTGCCAAGGCCAGGGAGAGGCAGCAGGGGGTAGTAACAGTCCGGCCAAGGGGATGTTCGGGTATGTAGTGTGTAATAATGACCAGAGCCACTGTTAAATGCATGGCAAATATTCTCTCTACACCATCAGCTACTATCACTAGCCTTGCAGAGCGTGGTGTTCTCACACGGTTGGTTCTCCAAGGCCCCAGAGCCCTGCTGGTCAGCCCTGTCTCTGTTAGCAGTGTGCAAAATACGTCTTAACAGTGACAGGAGGCTGCAGAGCGCACAAGTCATCCGGGACCACACAGCCAGAAGGACAGAGGAGGGACAGAAGCGGGGGTGCGCGTGCAGAGCCCTGACGGGATGCAGGCAAAGGGACGCGTGGCCCCAGCACCGCTTCCTCCTCCTGCTGGGGGAACATCTCCCACCTGCAGGACGGTGCCGGCTCTGTGAGCAGCTACGGGGGTGAAGACAAACAGCTCTTGGCCTACTTAATACTGATGTACTTTGAGTAAGAACAAAAAGCTAAATGATGTTCAGTGGAATTATATACAGTATATCAGATCTAGTTCTTAGACACTTTAAAAATTAAACAGATCTTTTTAAGAATACCTTCAGATAAAATCCTTCAGAATGCTTTTTGTGCCACAAAAATTTAATTATTTTACTAACAGTCACAAAAAGCAATGCTATGGGATCAAAATCATATGTTAGGTAATGTTTCTCCTGTTTTGTCTTCCACATCTCCTTTTGTTAGTAATTTTCATGATTGTTTTGGCACACAGGATGGTGGAAATCCCTGCTGGGTTTCCTGCAGCTTTATAAAAACCAAGCATCTACTCAGTGGGACCCAAGAGCATGAGCAAAATGATACTTAAGCACGAAAAGGCACGGTTCTAGGTGAAAATGTTTTCCTCATCATCATCAGGTATGTTTGTATTATTGCTATGTGTATATGACAGCATTTGGGACATTAAACAGTATCAGTATTATTCAATTTATTTAATTACATAAAAAATTTAGGAAGACCTATTTTTAAGGAAAGGTTTCATAAAGAAAGCTAAAGAGAAAAAAAATGTAATGATTTTATCAATTTTAATTTTAATTTTTTCAATTGCAGTTGACATTCATTATATTAGTTTCAGTTGCACAGCATAGTGGTTAGACATTTATGTCTAGTACCCACCTGGCAACATACACAGTTATTACAATATTACTGACCAAATTCCCTGTGCTGTATTTTATATCCCATGACTATTCTGTAGCTGCCAATCTGGGCTTCTCAATCCCTCCATCTTCTCACCCAGCTTCCCAACCCCCTCCCCTCTGGGACACCTAAGATTCTTTCTGATACACTGCTAATTAAAAGGAAAGAAAAATTTCATGAAAATCAGCATCACCCTGCTGACACACTTCATCCCAGGAAAAGTGGGTCTTTCTTTAAGCAAAGCTACAGCATGTAATCGACTAAGCTGGAGATGACAACCTGCCTGACACAGGGCTTCCATCGACTCCCGTGGTGAATTCGAAGGAGAGGCTAGTGACTTACGAGGCTCCGGGAACAGGGATGCGGATACATGTGGAGGCCAAACTCATGATTCCGACAAAGGCCAGCAGCATCCCCTGGTCATGTGTAATCAGACCCACTCTATAGCTATTTGCAGTTTTATAATTAAGATGGCCGTTACAGGGGAAAACATCTGTCATTCTTGGTCAACAGTCATGGCTCCAAGTCTCAAGTGTCCCTCATGCTGACCACCCCTGGCCTCTCCTGGATGCCCCAAGTCACTCAGAAGCCCTACAGTCTCTCTAGGACTCACCTCTAGCATCACTGCTAGCTGAGGTCCACTCTCATTAATTGATGCTTGTGCCCAAGTAGCTGTTAAATAGTTTGAATATCATTTCTGTGTATAATTAAAACTCTGTTCTAAGACAGAATTTCTCTCTCCCCAAAGCACAGCAGCCCTTTGAGTAATCTGACAGGGTTTCTCCCTACAAGTCAGTAGAAGCGAAATTCAGCTCAATGAAGCATATTCCTTTCCCGTAGCAGGATTCTCTCCATTTTTTTCTAATTAGCATCTTATGGTAGCTCTGCTGGGCCTTACAAGGTGGTGTTCCAACCACCACATAATTACCACCTTCTCTCTGATAGAACCTTTCTAGATGGACTGCAACTCACAATAAAACTCAGCAAAATAAAAATATTTTTGTGGAGTGGTGTCCAGAATGTCTTACTAATAAATATTGTAAGCTTGAATTTTAAAACTGTATTTCCAACACTTCATGTATACACAGAAAATTCAGAGCTGGCCTAGTCCAACTCCATGACTTTAGGAGAGATAAAACATCTTTTCAAAAGTTCAGATTTAGAAAAAGCTGCTTAGCAATATCAAAATCAAATGTAAAGCCATTTAGTCGTAAGTTGGTTTCTACAAAGACAATGAAATGACAATATATTTTCCTCGATGCTCATGCAAAAAAAGAATGACTTTCTCTGTAAAGAGAGACTTGAATTTCAAAGCCAATGTGCATGAGCAGCATCTAAAGACCAGGAGGCTTATTCCAGGGAGAAATACGCTAGTCAAATTGAGAAGTATTTTAGTCCTCTTTAATTTGTGTCCACTCCAAAAGCTTTGCATTATAGAAAAAAAATGTTTAAACTTTATATAGTTTAATACTGTAATTTCAAACTTTGTTGTAACCAAAAATAAACTTGGAAAATTAAAGTACACATTTGGATCTTCCATAAAATAAGCTTTTAGCCTAACATAAAATAAAAATCACTAAGGTTTCTCTTCCATACTTAGTAGTATACTATAAAAATTTTAAATTAACTTAGAATTAATGCACAAGCCAATTCAAATCCTAACTGTGTAGCACAAACATTTTTAAAAGTAGGTGGCTAGTGAAAGTACATTACGTCATAATTGATGGCTCATTTTCTGTCGAACAGGGTATTACTGTTTTTCAATCTCTTCACTTATCAGACCTGAACTATGATTAACAACAGAAGCAACACAGAAAAATAATGGCAAAAACTGTTCTGTTTCATGCCTGGAAACAGTGTAGTTTATTAAACCATGCCCTGCAGTAATTATAGAGCCAAAAAAGAAAACAAACACTTGAACATTCATCCTCCTGCTTAATTCTAAACTTTAAAGAATTGGCTAAGAATTGGTAGTAACTCAGAAATTAGTTACAGCAAGTCACAGCATGGAAAATAATTTAAATTACCAAATAAGCTTGCAAAGAACACTGTCTGCACTAGGAGACAGAATAAGAATTTCAATTTGCAGAAGAAAATGATCAGCTGTTTGCAGAAGTTCAGTCAACTAAAGCTGTGTCACCATAATTTCATTACTTGAAATAGTGAGCGCTGTGGCCATAAAGACGCTTAGGACAGAGTACATGCTAGAGGCTTTTGAAAATGAAATAAAGATTATGACAAATTAAAACAGTAACAATAACAGCTCTGAAGATGGAAGAAAACACATAAATGCTCAAAGGATACCATTTTAAACCAAAGACATAAGAATGAGGTTGAATGACACGGATCATCCTGAGGTTATATATTTTTTAAGTTCTTTAAGACATCACAGGTTCGCTAGATGAAGCAGAAAGTCAACCTCAAGGAAAACACAAGTAAAATGTATTGAATTATTTCAGCAAAAAGAAAATCTCCAATATCTGTGAAATAAATCAGTCATAGAGCAGCCCAGTTCTTTAAAATACTGCATAAAAAAGTGCTACAATAAGTACTTGCCCCTTCTGACTTCTCCACCGTGTTCGCCAGCATCTCCTGTAGGGCCCGGACAGAGAGGGACTGTTCCAGCACAAAGGTGCAGATGGAGAGGTCTGGGGGAACATTCTGTGTGGAAAAGGGAAAGCTACCATCATCATCACCATCATAACCATCATCACCACCATTATTATCACCCTCACCACCACCCTCACCACCATTACCACCACCATCACTAACACCATCACCACCACCATCATTACCATCATCACCACCATCATCACCATTATCACCCTCACCAGACACCACCATCTTCACCATCATCACCACCACCATCACTAACATCATCACTACCACCATTACTATCACCCTCACTACAACTCCCACCACTCTCACCCTCACCACCACCACCCTCACCACCATCAGCACTACCACCATTATCACCATCATCACCACCATCATCGCCATTATCATCATCATCAAGCATCCAGACCCAATTTACCTTATGTTACTTCAGGTTTTTTCATACAAAAAGTAAGAGTACTTGTCAATTATGTAATATGAGCTCCCAAATCATCCCTTATACATTGTCTATACTGCTCACACTTAATCCATTTTTATCTATGCGTAACAATAACTACCATTTTGGTGCCAATCTGATAGGCACTGCATTCAGAGCTTTATCAATAACTCCTGTGGCCATCTATGCTAAGGGTTATCAACATCATTGTGTGGACAAGAAAAGAGAAGTTAGGTTACTTTTCCAAAGTCACAATTTTTCAAGCCAGGATTAAGAAGCCACATTTCTTTAGTTCTCAAGCACTCACTTCTCACCTACCAAGCAGTCAGCTGACAAAAAGTAAAAGGACAGAATAACGCTTGCTTCAAATAAATAATGACATTAAAGCAAATATAAAACTGAATTGACATAAAAGACTCATTCACATTGGCTTCTCCTTCTCCTCAAAGATAATCCCTTTGTTTCACTCAAGTTGCATTATATTTGGCCTCTAACTAAGATTATGGTCATTTGACTTCTGTTCTGTGTATGGCTTTATTTTCTCGTTCATTCTTTTTCCCTTCTCTTTCCTTCCTTTAAATTTCCTCTCCAATCAATAGCTCCATAAATGCTGAAAATCCCAAAAGGTAACTAACTACCCAGAGAGTGAAGGAAACAGGATGGGAATTAATTGGCAAGTTAGAGAGAACTATCTCCACAGGGACCAAATACATTATTATTTGCATCTGCTTTTGCTTTAGAGAAGCAGCGTCCGGTGAGCAACCAACTGGGTATGGAAAACACTCAAAGGAGGATTTTCATAGAAGAACAACATTATAAATACGTTGAACACAAACTTTTAGCAAGAGCGTGTCTTCATAAAAAAGCATTAGGAGCAATGCATCAAAATGATGATTTATAATGTTTATGTCTGTAGGCAGCTGAAGGGCCCCCATGAGAGTGACTCTCAGCAGAAAACGATGCTTCATGGTTTCACGGGAAGACTAATACGAGGCAGCAATATTAAAATCGAAACTATCCTATGGATGAAAGAAGCAATGCAGTCAGGCCACTGAGCCCGTGTTGTTTTGTTTTGCTGTTTTGTTTTGTTTTGTTTTGTTTTGAATGAACTTTCCTTCTCTGGATCCCTCAACCCTCCCCTCATGAACTTCTGCGCTCCCTGTCCAGTCACCTACGCAAGAAGCCTGCCTCATACTCACTAGCTGTAACGTTTCCAACCTTTAGCTTCCTTCCCTGAAAAGTGAGGTAATAATTCTACCATTTTCATAGGGTTGTTCTGAAAATAAGGGAGATAATATGAGCAAAGAGTTAATCAGTGTCTAGACCAGAACCTGAACTCAATGTAATGTGAGCTGTTCTCATCAGCTAGCTTTGCCTATTGTCATTTCTCCCCATTTGTGGCATTTACGAAACACTATCACTTCTCAAAATTGATTCTTAAGTGGATTCTATTTTGGAGAAATAGTGTTTGAGACCACAAATCAATAATTATGCACCTGTTCACAGCATCCAAAATGTTCTCATATTTTCTAGAAAAGACACTTTCTGGAAACATGTAAAAGTTTACGTACTGAGCATATGTATATTGTTTCATGCTACACTTGGAACAAACTGTTCAAATCTGATCTCTGTAATATCTCATATTTATTTTAAAGACCCTTGAAAACCACAGGGATCTGAAATGAATTAATCCTGCCAAGCTAATTGCATTTTGCCACAGAGGGATGTGCCCGTTGCAATATTTTTCCAGCTCATGGGTGTCAGCAGGAATAAAGGGACAGACGAAGCACAGAGGCAGGCATCTGTCTCCCAGAGAAACAGTTTTCTCTCAACCCATCTTCTGACCCATCTTCATCACTCTCTCTTCCCGCCCGTAACCCCCTCAGAACACAGATAAATGTGGGAGAAAAGCTGAGGCAGCAAAACAGTATCTTTTACTCCTTTCAGGAGTTTGTGTTGTGTTGAACAACACAAACCAGAGAATCATGGATTATGTTTGTTTTGCTCTAAAGAAAAATGGTCTGGTTATTTAATTTTATTTATTAATTTGAGAGAAATACTGATTCGTTGTTCTACTCATTTATGCATTCAGTGGTTGCTTCCCAAACCTTGTCATCAGGATGACACTCCAACCAACCGAGCCACCTGGCCAGGGCAGTCTGGTCCTTTTAGCAAAAGAATCATTACCGTGATGTGTTACCTTTTAAAGTAACTACTAAAAGTACTTCTTAATTTAGATGCATATTTCTTCAGTAACCTTGAAATTTTTATATACACCACACCACAGCATTTATGGTAAGTCTTTGTTAGCACCTCCCCAAATAAACTCAAGTCAGTGGAAAATAAAAGGTCTCATTTCACTGATCAAACACCAAGTAAATGGCCCCAAAAAGGAAACCAAAATGAGCCCGAACACCCGGCAGAGCAGATGAGCACAACATTCTACAAACCTCTGCAGCGTGAGCTCAGATTCGAAAGCATTTGCAAGTTACCGTCTTTCTTAATCTTAATTATTTTTAGTCTTAACTCAAGTCTTGTTACTGAGAAACTTAATTTTCAGAACTTCAGTTTGAAAGAGTTTTTCTCTCCCTTACAGAGTGTGCCCCCAAATCACAGGCCCCTGGTGCAGCAAGCTTTCCAGGGGGACACAGTGAATAGCCTCTCCCGACCACACAACCAGGAGCCCAGCCTGGCCCACGCAGCACCCACCTGCCCGGCATGTACATGGCAGGTGTGTCTCTCACACAAAATTAAACCAGAGAAACCACCTCAGTCTATCTGAGCATCTGTCTAGGCCACCCAGGACAGTACCAGTTGGACAGGGAGGAGGGTGACCCTGCTCTTTATATGGAGACACCACCACTCTGACCAGGATATGTGATGCCTGCTACCTTCAGCAAGGTGGTAAACTTTTCTGTTGTTGTTATTCCTTATCCAAGGACATTTTTTCCATTGATTTTTAGAAAGAGTGGAAGGGAAGGAGAGGGGAGAGAGAGACAGACAGACAAACACTGAAGTGAGAGACACATCGATTGGTGGCCTCCCACATGAGCCTCGACCGAGGCCGGGGATCAAACCAGAGACCCTCTGGTGCTCTGGCTGAAGCTCTAATCACTGAGCACACCGGCCAGGACCAAAGCTCACAAACCTTAAGCTTCGTGTGTCTTTCCTTCATGTTAAAATACAAACCGGTCACCGTTCTCCTCGCCTGACAAACACGATCTAGTCATGGGGAAGTTCTCAAGAACAACCAAACACAGCAGCTGGCTTTGTAGGCGCCAAGAGTCCACGCGAAGTTCGGTTTCCAGCTGAGGTTTCCATCCAACCATTTGGCTTCCGCAGACGTATCTGCCTAACTCACTGAAAAGCCTGCTGAAAGCTGTCATTACCCAGCTGACCTGCACCCAATTATCTGGGACACAAGCCCCAGCAGAACAGCTCTCCTGTTGCGCCGTGGAAACCACACATTCGCACACCCTCCTTGGGACATCCCATGCCTTTGCTGTGCTTCCCCTCTCTCTACCTGAAATGCCCATCTCCAGGCCCCCACCTGCACAAGCTATTTCATATTCTAAAGTCATTCATAAATAAAAATTACACATAAACACATTTTCCTCGTTGAAAATTCAAACAATACTGAAAATTTTTAAACTCTCTTTCCAAGTTTAACTACAGTTGACCCTTAACATGGGGATGGGGTCAAAAATCTGCATGTAAGTTTTGACTCCCCCAAACTTAACTACTAATAGCCTACTGCTTCCCAGGAGCTTTAGGATTAACACGTTTTCTATGTTAAATGTATTATATATATACTGTATTCTTTTTTTTTGTTGTTAAGTTTATTGGGGTGACATTGGTTAATATATACTGTATTCTTACAATAAAGTAAGCTGGAAAATACCCGTCTATAAGTGACCCCGTGTTGTTCAAGGTCAACCATGTACTCCATCTCCCTCTCAGGTGCAGCCACATAGTCTGACAAACTGTGGGATGTACTTCCTTTCAAGCCTATTTCTATACATTTATATATGCGTGTGCTCAATGCAGAGGTATACAGATTGGCTTTTCCCAATAATGAGCTAACTGTACAATTATATTTCTTAAAATTTTACTAATATGTATTAAAGGTCACTGTCTGTTATTAGATGCATATCTTGTTCATTTTTCATGACTGCTAGAGAGTCTAGATGTACCATGTTCCTCCTGGAAAATGGTTCAGGTTTTCTGCCACATAGCACTGCATTCAGCTCAGGCTACTACAGTATATCTCTATGACTATTTTATAACTAGTAATTTGCGCTTCAGCTTTTCACCCATCCTTCCAACCCCCCTTTATCTGGCAACCATCAATTTGTTCTCCGTATCCATGAGTTTGTTTCTGTTTTGTTTGGTCTATTATTTTGTTTCTCAGATTCTACATATAACTGAAATCATATGGTATTTGTCTTTCTCTGTTCCACTTCTGAATACTTACCTGAAGAAATTCAAAACACTAATTCAGAAAGCTATATGCACGCTTATGTTCACTGCAGCATTATTTACAATAGCCAAGGCATGGGAGCAACCTAAGTAGATGATTGGATATAGAAGCAATGCATCTATACAATGG